CTGCGTTCAGCTTTTTGAGGAGATGCTAAACTGTTTTCCACTAGAAATTTTACATTCCCACTAGAAATGTACAAGAATTCCAATTTCTCTACATTCTTGCCAACATTTATTCTTCTTTTCCTTTTTTTCTTTTTACAAGTGTAGCCATCCTCATAGATAGGAAGTGACATCTCGTGTGGTTTTGATTTGAATTTCCCTAATGACTAATGATGTTCAGCATCTTTTTATAGTCTTATTGGCCATTTGTATATCTTCTTTGGATTAATGTCTATTCAAGTCTTCTGCCCATTTTTTAATTGAGTTGGTTTTTTTGTTCTTGAGTTATACCACTTATATATATACTGGATGTTAAACCCTATCAGATATATGATTTGCAAATATTTTCTCCCATTCTGTAGGTTAGCTTTTCACTTTCATAATAATTTCTTTGCAAAAAGGTTTTAAATTTTGATGAAGTCCAGTTCGTCAATTTTTTCTTTTGCTGGTGCTGTTGGTATTTTTTTTTTTAGATTTATTTATTTATTATTTGAGAGAGAGAGAGAATGAACAGGAGGGGCAGGGGAGAGGGAGAGAGAATCTCAAGCAGACTCTGAGCTAGGTGCAGAGCCCAACATGGGGCTTGATCCCACAACCCTGAGATCACCACTTGAGCTGAAACCAAGAATCAGATGCTTAACCGACTGCACCACCTAGGCACCTCTGGTGCTATTGGTTTTTTATATCTAAGAATTCTTTGCCAAATTCAGGGTCATGAAGACTTACCCTTTACTGTCTCCTAAGAGTTTTATGGTCTTAACTCTTATATTGTAAAGTCTTTGATCCAGTTTGAGTCAATGTTTGCATATGATATGAATAAGATTTTCAACCTCATTATTTTGCATGTGGAAATCAAGTTGTTTCTGCACCATCTGTTGAAGAAACTGTTCTTTCCCCAGTGAGTAGACTTGATGCTCTTGTCAAAAATCAGTTGGCCATATATAATGGGTTTATTTCTGGGTTCTTAATTCTGTTCTATTGGCCTATATGTCTATTTTTGTGACAGTACCATCCTGTTTGGATTACTATAACTTTGTGGAAATTTTTGAAATCAGAAAGTGTGAGTCTTCCACTTTTATTCTCTCTCAAGATTGTTTTGGCTAGTCAGGGCACCTTGGATTTGGGAATTGGCTTTACCATTTCTGAAAAAGCCCTGTCATTTTTTAATAATCAGCTACTAAAAGGTTGTAATTTGAAATGTCTCTGTGTATCTGTGGCCAGAATTTGTTTCTGGTCACCTAAGAATTTTCTGCTCATTGTCTGCTCAGAGTCTATATAGAAAAGAAGTCATAAGAACTGTAATTTGGAATAAAATTATTTCCTAAGTTTCTTCACTTATTCCTCCAGTAGAAAAAAATAGGAAACTCTATTTGTAGCTTCATGAGTAACTTATCTTAGGATTAGTTTAGGGTCAGTTTCATTGAAGTAAAGCTAAAATGCATGTGAGATGGAGCTTGCTGCCAGTGTGGTTGTTATTTCAGTATTTTATTTATTTTAAATATTCATTGTAATATGAAGTGTTTGGGTGCAAAGCTAGGTTAAGTAAAGGGAAAAGTGTATCATCAGGAGTTCTGATCAAAATGGCAAACTGAACCAAGATAGAAAGTCCTCCCTTGTGCTTTGAATACAGAAATGCTGAGAAAAACAGAGTAACAACAAGAAAAATAACCCAGCTCAAATGAGTGAAAGGGAAATCCCCAGTGCTGGAAATGAAAAAGTGCTCAAAGCCAGAACAGGGAATGATAGCTGAAAACAGTGAGGTCCACAAGCCTACTGGGTAGACTTTTATGGACTAGGGAGTGAAGCCTTAGACCAGTGTGGGATGGCAGCTTGGCTGGAGTGGGGACTCTTACATAAAGCCCTACTGTTCAAAAGGCTGTGAAACAGGGATTAGAAAAATCCCATTCACTATCTAGAGAAAGTGGCAAGAAACTGTACTGTATGAGTTCCTACAAGATAATAATTAGAAGAAAAGGAATAATCAAGAATTGTTTACCCAAGCTTATGCCATGTATAAGTATGAGGAGTGAATTTACACTGCCTCCAGTGAGGCAGGAACTATTTTTCCAGGTTAAGAAATTAACATCGAAAATGGATCTGGTATTGGGGCACCTGGCCTGCTCAGGGGTAAAATGTGCAACTCTTGATCTCAGGGTCATGAGTTCAAGCCCCACGTTGGGTATAAGAGCTTACTTTAAAAAAAAAAAAGATTGGTCTGCGTGTGATTTCACTCATGTGGAATTTAAGAAGCAAAACAAATGAACATGGGAAACAAAAAGAGAGCAACAAACCAAGAAACAGACTCTTAATGATAGAGAACAAACTGAAGGTTGATGAGGGAAGTGGGTGGGGGATGGGTTTAATAGGTGATAGGGATTAAGACGGGCACTTGTGATGAGTACCTGGTGTTATATGTAAGTGATGAATCACTAACTTCTAAACCTGAAACTAATATTACAATGTATGTTAACTAACTGGAATTTAAATAAAAATGTGGAAAAAATTGGTCTGGTATCAAATTAGATAAAGAAACTTAAGTGCAGCTATTTGTCATTATTAATAAAACAACAGAGAAAACGAAAGATTGCATAAAAATTTTCAAAATAAAGGGACTGAGGAGCAAAGAGGAGATAGGTTAAATATTGTTGATATTCAGTGGTTTTTCTTACAAAAATGGCAACTTCATATGATTAAACTAATAACAACCAAAAGAGCATAGTAGAGGAATTTCAATATCAGACTTTTGAAGCAAGAGCAGTATTAAGAATAGAGATTCAAGAACAATGAAAAAGGTAAAATGATAATGATCTTGATTGTGCTTACTAATATAAACTCCAATTATTTATAGTAAAACCTGTATTACAAGGAGAAATTGGCAAAACTTTGATGATAGATGTACTTAGAAATTACACTATCAGAAGTTATTAGACAAAAATACGGTGGAGAAGATTTTAACAACAGAATAGACATAGCAGTCTATCCAACAGTGTGATATGTATTCTGTTACATACCCAATCATTTCATAAATTTACTAATGATAGTCCAGAAAAGAAATCTCAGCAAATAGCAAATAACTGATCTCATACAGAGGTATCTCATACAGAGCTACTTTCTGGTAGCAGTGTAATAAATTTATAAATCAACAAAAGCATAATTTGAAAACTCCATATGTTTGGAAACTGAAAAGAATACTTCTGAATGATTCATTTGGAAAGAAATCACAACAGAGGAAACTTGTTTCCAGCAGTATGGCAGACTGGATCCTCTTGCAAACAGTTAAGGAACTTGTATAAAATGTACAGTACATATTTTAGTTACAGTAGTGTTCTAGGAAGAAATAAGGAATTAGAGGACAACAAACAAAGGAAAGCAGGAATTCAAAGAGGTAAGACTTGGGGCGCCTGGGTGGCTCACTTGGTTAAGCGTCTGCCTTCGGCTCAGGTCATGGTCCCAGGGTCCTGGGATCAAGCCCCACGTCGGGCTCCCTGCTCAGAGGAGAGCCTGGTTCTCCCTCTCCCTCTGCTGCTCCCCCTGCTTGTGTGCTCTCTCTCGCTCTCTCTCTCTCTCTCTCTCTCTCGGTCTGTCAAATAAATAAAAATCTTAAAAAAAAAAAAGAGGTAAGACTTGAAGATATTTCCTGAACCCAGTGTTCATGAACTTGTGTTTTCGTGGGTTGGCAGAGTACAGGAGATAAAATCAAGGCCCAGGGTCCTGCCTAAAATTGGGACTCTAATAAGAGGTGTTCTTGTATAAATGTAGAACATACAAAGGATTTCACACTCAAAGTAAGAGAGAACTAGAAATAAGCCCTAGCACAGAGTTAGGATGAATCATTAGTGGGTCATGGAATCAATTATGTGGTTACCATCAGCACTGTTTATTGTTGTTTTTTATTTTTGTTTGTTTTTGAATATCAAATGTAATGCTTCAGGTAACTTTTTGTTTCATTGTTGATGAGTTAGTGTGTATTTGTATTTGAATGTGTATATGAGTACAAAACATAATACTGAGTGGCGAAAACTAGTTGCAGACTGATAGGTAAGTATAATTGAGTTTATGTTATAAAATAATCCAATATGCTGTTTTGGAAAGATAAATACCAACTGTAGTATACCAGCTTCTGAAGACAGAATAGAATGGGATTATGACAATGTTCCAAGGAATTATGCAAGATCCCCCCTTTTGTGTGCATGTGTGCGCACATGCATGCGACACGCCTGCAAACATTTACCTTAAAAAAAAAAAAACTAAGTGACTATGACAGAATGTTAACATGTAGGTGATAGGCACTTGGATATATATTGGCTATATAATTTCCTGTACTTTTGTGTTATTTGTACTATATGATTTTTTAAAAAGCTGTATCATGCACTAAGTAGGTAACTATTATAGTTTTATTATGGGGAGAGTCTTTAGGGGTGAATGATGTCAAAATGAAATTTATTTTTTCAGAATGAAATTTTTATTTAAGTGTTCTTTAGAAGAGCACCCCTGGGTGGCGCAGTCGGTTGAGCTTCCAACTCTTGGTTTAGGTTTAGGTCATGATCTCAGGATCATGAGATTGAGCCTTGCGTCAGGCTCAGCAAGGAGTCTGCTGGAGTTTCTCTCTCTCCGTCTCCCTCTGCCCCTCCCTCTGCTCTCTCTCTCTCTCTCAAGTGACACCTTTAATTAGATGAAAGCTATGTAGTTGCTATGTAATTAAGTACATAGAAAGGGAAAATACATGAAGTATGATGTAGCCAAAAATGCTTGTTAAATTAGAAGCCCTGGTGAAGAAAGGAAAAAGTTCTCTCTCTTGAGTGGTGCATTCAGGGAAAGCAAACTATGACCCATCAAATAATCAAAGTTTAAACATTATATTATTAAAATTATAATTTGTTTTTTAACCATGAGGCAAAAAACTAAAAATATATAATGTATATATTATTTTGTCATTCACATTTTTGTTTGTTTGTTTTACTTAGCTGGTCACCTGACATTTGAATGCCGTAATTTTCTCCGAGTGGACCCCAAAAGGGATATAGTTTTGGATGTGAGCAGCACAAGCAGTGAAGAGAGTGATGAAGAGAATGAAGAACTGAATAAATTGCAGGCATTACAAGAAAAAAGTAAGTAATGCTTTTTCTTTCCCTCCATCCTTTAAAAATGTTTCTAAACATTCTGCTTATGCTTATGTCATGTTTATTCTATTGTACTTATCATTTAGATAGCTTGTGTATTTTATGTAAGAGGTACTGCACAGGTAAGGAAATAGGCTTTGAATTTCTAGGTACTTTGCCCCAGATCAAACAGCTAATCAGTGTTAGAACCAGGAGGCAGGTCTATTTCTGATTCCACAATGCAGGTTTTGTTGTTGTTGTTTTTCCATCATACTAAGATGTGTCACATGGTACAAAGAGTCTGATTTTAAGACTTGGTTTGTAGACCTGTTTGGCCATTTTGTAGCATGTGACTTTCAGCAAGTCATTTAACCACTGTGAGCCTTAATTTCTTTGTGGGATATCACAAAGAATAGGTTTGTCAAGTTACACTCATTCAAATCAGAGATGCTAACCAGTAGCCAGGTTTACTAGTAATTTCAAGTATATACATGATCGTGAGGCATAGGGGAAGCTGCAAGAGTTCTAGGACCACCAGTATGGCTCCCCACATATTTTCTTTCTACTTCACAACCCACTCTGGCCAAGATTAACATGAGGTTTCTTCATTACTTACCCAAAAGAAGTCATTTAATCATGAAATATCTCAATTTTAAATCCATATAGTTACATTTTCCAGGGAGCCATGTCTCATGCATCCATAGATCCCAGGATTATGTACCATAAACAATCTTAGACAAACCAGCTACATCCTGTAAGCAGTCTACAAATAAGGATTCTCTTGCCAACAACTTGATCATGGATCTTTAGCTTTCAGAACTGTGAGAAAATAAATTTCTGTTACTTAAGTACACCTTCCCCCCCCCCCCCCCCCCCCCCCCCAATTCTCTAGTTAGCAAATACCACTCATTTGTTTCCAGGAGGTCTGTCATTAGCATGTTTACAGAGAGATTTAACTAAGTTACCTTTTTTCTCTCTTGGGGGCATCCTCCTCTCTCCTCAAAGAAAGAGAAGATTGCATACCTATTGTTTAACTATTTTTTTCCCATCGTGTGTATAAAATAGCCTATCCTTGCAATGGGGCTTTTAGGGATAAAATGTAATGCTGTATGTGAAAATACTTGGTAAACTTCAAAATGCCATATGGTCGATGTCACACACAATAAAAATGTAACTTGTTTGAGTATGGGTTTAGGCATGGAATGAGAGAGATACAAAAAAGTTTAAATCTTATTTTAGCTCATCAGAGAATAAACCGTATACACTTTAAAACTTTTTAAGCTTTCCATATTCCATCTAGTGAAGGTAAATGAAGTCAAATGCCAATGTAGTAGGACAGGCTGAGAAGGCAAGCGGAAGAGAGTTGTAAAAAGGGCAAACAAGACTTACATTACATATGAGTATATACAGCTTCAGGTAAAGATAGCTGCTTGGGTGTACGTACTTGATTTTATTAGCTACTGAAACACCACTGAAATGAGAGTGGAAGAATTTTTTTTTTAATATTTTATTTATTTATTTGAGAGAGAGAGAATGAGAGACAGAGAACACGAGAGGGAAGAGGGTCAGAGAGAGAAGCAGACTCCCCACTGAGCAGGGAGCCCGACGTGGGACTCGATCCCAGGACTCCAGGATCATGACCTGAGCCGAAGGCAGTCACTTAACCAACTGAGCCACCCAGGCGCCCAAGTGGAAGAATTTTTTAAAAAAAACATAAACCCACAAAGACAAGAAAAACAAGATAGGAAGCAATAGTAACAAAATTTTAAAAAGCAGATGGGTTTAGGGATAATGGATTGCACACTTGAGAAAGCTCAATCCTTTAATAGTAGGAAGTCTGAGGAGTAACCTGAGAATATACACTTTAAAACTCACCAAAGACTTGGTAATGAGTATCCTTAGGTACCTCTGTGAGGACATCTGTAAAGCTAAAAACAGAGGTTAAATATCTGACGTAAATCCCCTTCAATTCCCTTTGCCTACTCTGTGAAGCCAGGTGGCTTCCATCCATCACCTCAGCAGGCTACTACGTCTGTTTTCTAGACAGGGTAAAACAAAGAGTCTTTGAATTGGGACATACCAAACACAAATGAAAACAGTAAGTTAAAGTACAGAGAATGGCGAGAACCTTCCAGACATCTTCATCTGTTTGGTTCCCAGACTTATATCACTCAGGCAGAAGATTTGAAGATTTATCTCTGGGAGATCTGACTGGTCTAAGAAGAAAGACAGAAATAAAGATACCGACCTCAAGGATTCTTCAAGGACACAACATAGCCACATTACCAGCAAAGTTAAGATTTAGAAGTTTTCACTTGCTCAAAACGTCATGTGAGCTTTTTTAGACAATCAGGGAGCACTAAATTTCTGAAGAAAGACTCTCATGTGAAATATAGATACCAAAACCAACCAACCAGTGGAACAACTTGAAGGATACAGAGTTCTGTGCAGGGAGAAGAAAACAGAAATCATTAATGCCCAGTTTTATAGAAAGATATGCTACAGCACCCATGAAACAAGAATAAGATACTATAAAAAAGAACAAAACAAAAGAACTTTTGGAATTAAAAAAGAAGTAGACACTCAAAACTTGATAGAGCTGGAAGCTAAAGTTAAAGAAATCTAACAAGCAAAACAAGAGAAGGAAAAAAAAGGTAAGACAAAGAATCAGTATAGGAAACACTTCATTCAGATGAGCCCTAGAAGGAGAAAACAAGGAATTTCCAAGAACTGAAGGACATTAGTTTCCAGATGAAAGTGTTCAATAAGTACTAAGCACAGTGTTAGAAATAGACCCACACAAAGGCACATTGTTATAAAACTTTGTATCATAGGAAACAAGGAGAATATAATTCAAACTTCCAGAGTCAGGGATAAAACAGATCATAGGCAAAAGATCAAGAGTCAGAATAACTTTGTTCTGTAAAAAAATACTGGAATCTAGTAGATGTGGATAATGCTTTCAAATTTTTGAAGGAAAATTATATCCAAATTAGAATGATATACCCAACCAAATTATCAACCAAGTGTGAGATAGAATAAAGATCTTGGCAGACATTCAAAATAAAAAAAAAAATTACCTCTCACATACTCTTTCTTAGAGCACTGATTCCAGAGGTTTCTACCAAAGTAAGGGAGTAGACCCTTAGAAGGAAGACTTTCTAGGAAGTAGAGAAGATATGAAAGGAGTCTCTAGGGCATTTGTAGAGGAGATCTCAGGAAGACAGCCACACCAGTAACAGAGACTAGGCTGAAAGAGCAAAGTGAAGATTCTAGGAGAGAAAGCCTAAGATTGTCAATTCCACAGGGACAGTTTCCAGCCCATCCATCTCCACTGCCCTATCTAAAAACAAAAAACAAGAAAACCGAGAAAACCCAAACCAAACCAAAACAAAAACTCTAGTATCAGTGAGGCTGTTAAAGAACGCATAATTTAAACCTAGTTTTACAGAAAAGGAACTGAAGACAGATGACTCCCCAGGTCACTAACTTGCCACCATGAAACCAGCACTGTGGTCCGTGTTTCTTAACTACTAGTCTTATACTGTTTACGGTGTGGTGCTCTCCTTAGAGATCACCCAGTCTATTGGTTCTTCATCTTTTTTCCCTTCACCACATCGATCTCGAAGGGTAAAGTACACTCTCATCATGAATAGTGGTTTAGTCTAGAGGTGATTTTTCAGTAAGAAAACCTGGGACAGATCTTTCCCTGGCAGGAAAGGGAGGGAGTTAACATACCATACACCAGGATAGGGAGTAGTTGGTAAAACTTCCTTGTTAGAATCAGCTTTCCCTTAACCACACCTTGAGAATGACTGACTCAATATAGACTTTTTTTTCCCCCTTAAAAAGATACACTTGCCTGCGGTCACTTAAAGGCTCAGAACTTGTTTCCAAGTCTCCCACTCAGGAGAGTGCTTATTTCAGGGTATCATGCAGATTACAAAAAGTGTTATAAAAGGGATCCATATTTATTTCATGGTCATCTAGTGGAAGCCCAGTGACTGCCTACTTAGACAATAAACTGGTTCCTAAATACAGGGAGGAAAGGAGTATAGATGTTGTAGTTCTTAGTTCCATTGATAACTTTGTGATACTGCTTAGGATCTCTGATGGCGTGAGGGTAGAACACTGACTTGAGTGTGAGTTCTCATGCCATAGCCATTAGTGGTACTGAGGGCTCCTGAATCCTTCCTTGATTCTTAGAGGTGGGGAGCTCTTGAATCAACTCTCTTGAATAAGTTATGGTTTGGGGGGATTTTTCTTTTTTTTTTTTTCTGTTTAGGCTGGAATGGTACTACAAATCTTTTTTTTTTAAGTTTTATTGTTATGTTAATCACCATACATTACATCATTAGTTTTGGATGTAGTGTTCCATGATTCATTGTTTGTGCATAACACCCAGTGCTCCACGTAGAATGTGCCCTCTTTAATACCCATTACCAGGCTAACCCATCCCCCCACCCCCCTCCCCTCCAGAACCCTCAGTTTGTTTTTCAGAGTCCATCGTTTCTCATGGTTGGTCTCCCCCTCCGATTTCCCCCCTTCATTCTTCCCCTCCTGCTATCTTCTTCTTCTTTTTTTTTTTTCTTAACATATATTGCATTATTTGTTTCAGAGGTACAGATCTGTGATTCAACAGTCTTGCACAATTCACAGCACTCGCCATAGCACATACCCTCCCCAATGTCTTATCACCCAGCCACCCCATCCCTCCCACCCCCCCACCACTCCAGCAACCCTCAGTTTGTTTCCTGAGATTAAGAATTCCTCATATCAGTGAGGTCATATGATACATGTCTTTCTCTGATTGACTTATTTCACTCAGCATAACACCCTCCAGTTCCATCCACGTCGTTGCAAATGGCAAGATCTCATTCCTTTTGAAGGCTGCATAATATTCCATTGTGTATATATACCACATCTTCTTTATCCATTCATCTGTCGATGGACATCTTGGCTCTTTCCACAGTTTGGCTATTGTGGACATTGCTGCTATAAACATTGGG